TATATTAGGTAATTTAAAAGCTTATTTAACCCTTAGGGTTTACCTAAGCTTATTAGTTTTTTTATAAACTACTCTTAAGCTAAGTCTCTACCTAGGATATTATAATATAAATAAGTGTTTAGTTAACTATCTAGGAGCTTATTTCTGCTATTTAGTAAGAGTAATAGGGAACTATTTAGAGGGTAGGTCTAGGCTAGTAAGGTCCTTATATAAAGGAGGTGTTTCGCGCAGCCAGCTTCTCTTTCACCAGCTCGCGAGGTTATATAAACCCACGGGTCCCCCAATGTCAACTCAGACACCACCATCGGGGGTTCCAGGACCCATCTAGGCAGAATAGTAGCCATCCTCGACGAGCCCCTTCACCACCCGGTAGGCGGCGCGCAGCTCAGTCGACCGCTAGAAGCTCGTTAACACCTGAAGACAAAATCAAAGGTTCAAAGGGTAAGACTTACAGGGGTCGTCACTCTATTGGAGCGAACGAGCTCCTCGACTAGCTCTAAGCCGATCGGCTTAAGGGCAGAGGGGCTACAACAAAGCAATCAGACTACTATTTAACAGCTCCAAACTAAAGAGACTTACAGAGCCTGGCAGGAGTGCCCGTGGGAGCACCGGAAACACCTCTTCGCCCGTCGGCCAGCGTTCTCCACGTCGTAACAAAGATCAGCTGAGCTGCTCGTCAGCAGCGCGGCCACACAAGTCCCACAGGGGATCACCCTGCGGGTGCCCCTAACGAGGGGTACCCTGAAAGGGGACCCACCCACTGCTGTGGCGCCGGTGGTGGTGCTAGTGGTGGTGCTGGTGGTGGGGAGGGCGGGGAGGGGAGCGTGAGGGTCGAAAGGACCCTTAAAGGAGCCCTCCACTCCCACAGAGGAAGCTCGTTTGGCCGAAGCCAAACCACTGCTGCCCAAAGGCGAGACCGAGCGAGGGCGGGCGCGGGCACGCGGAGCGAGCAAAAGCTCTTGAAAGGTGTCCGCGCGCCTGGCTGCCTCGTGGCGGGCTCGGCGGGCGGCGGTGGCGGCGGTGGTGCGCGCGGCGCGCTTGGTGGTTGATTCTCTCTATCTCCAAGTCAGTTACAGCCAAAAAGAGCACCAGAACAACAAAGCAGCCGCTCAATTGGACACTGTCTAAACCCCTGGAACCACAGAACAGGTTACTAGGCACCACTGAACAATCGTGAAGCCAAAACGAGCGAAGGAAAGATCACCAGCCGCTCGAAAACACAAAAACAAAGTATACGTACAGCCATGATGGATTAAGAAGCTGAAGTCGTTGACATTGGGGGACCTGTGGGTTTATATAACCTCGCGAGCTGGTGAAAGAGAAGCTGGCTGCGCGAAACACCTCCTTTATATAAGGACCTTACTAGCCTAGACCTACCCTCTAAATAGTTCCCTATTACTCTTACTAAATAGCAGAAATAAGCTCCTAGATAGTTAACTAAACACTTATTTATATTATAATATCCTAGGTAGAGACTTAGCTTAAGAGTAGTTTATAAAAAAACTAATAAGCTTAGGTAAACCCTAAGGGTTAAATAAGCTTTTAAATTACCTAATATAAGCTCTTTAGGCTATATAACTAAAGTACTTTAGGATAACGTTAGTAACTATATAAGAGACCTTAGAGTTATAATAGAGGAAAAAGCTTTTCTAAGATAAGGCTTAGATGCTTAGACCTTAGGGAAGAACCCTACTTTTTAGTTAGACCCTACTAATTATCTTGTTATATACTTAGCTACTTGCTTATCTAATAAGCAAACGCCTAGGGGGTGTGTTACATAATTAAGCACCTTAATTAAGGGTGTGGAGCTTGCTAGCCTAGATAAACTAGGACAAGCACCTCTAGGTCTAAACTAGAAGCTTGTTTTATCTATTCTTTATTAATAAGCTACTAGATAATTAGCTAACTACTTACTTATCTAGGATTATATAATCTACGTATATTTCCTATGTATGTTATAAAAAAAGTAGGGGAAGGACTAGACTACTTTCTTCCTAGTCTAGAAGGACCTAGACAAATCTAGACTAGCTTTGTCTAAATAGGAAGCGTATAGCCTAATAGAGGTAAGGTAGGATTATGTAATATAATAGACAAGTTATTATAACGTAGATTATCACCAAGCCAGCTATATCACTAAACTAGCCATTTTCTCTTAGCACAACTAACATAAGTTACTATAACTACAACTACTTACTATTAAATAGTGACCTAGCATACTGCGTGCTTACATTAGATTTAGAAGATGTTTCTGCACTCTCCTAGCACGTTTGTGCGTTGTGTCCAGTCTTGCTGCAGTTCCCACAGCGCTGAATAGTTAATTAAGCTCCTAGTTGACTACCTCTACTGTATCGGTTGAGAGGAGAAGCGGATCACGTGTTGTTGGCGGTGGTCTGGTGCTACTTCCTCATGTTGTTGAGCACCTCTTACCTCAGCTGCATCACAAAGACATCATCAAAATAGACCCCGCAGCGACCCTTGGATAGCAAAGATACAAGCAACACGACAACACAGAACACAATACACTCGTTATATACATTTGCCCTTGATACCGCAACACCAAACATGCGATGGAATAATACAGATCGCCGCTAGAATGTGTGCTATATTGTCCCCGCAGTTTGACTTCTCGTACCACCTCTCTTCTCTTTCCGCAAACATCAAGAATGACAAGATTGTGGCCCTATGACCAAGAGTCCTTCTCGAATACCAATCGAAAACTATCGCGCTCCCGCTTTGGTGCTAGTAGGTAGTGCCGTTCACGAATGTCGTATTTTTATATTCGTTGGCAAGCTGTTCCCGAGTCAGTCCCAGAGCACAAATTTCGACCATAGTCACTCACATTCCAGACATCAATGCGCAAAGTGTATGAGCCGTCTTCGTATACCACAATGGGTTGCAGAAAGCCAACCGCAGTCACAAAGTTCAACCAGTAGTATTCCTTGTCGCCTGTTTCAAAAACCAGTCGTAAGTGCAGCTTCTTATCCGGCTGTATTGATCCGGATGTCTGGATATAGATGTTGGCACCATCCTCTGTCTGCAGATTGTATCGTGTGTCTGCGCTGAAGATCCCCGTCTGAGGATCGGTGAGTCCCCAATCAGCACCGAGATTCAGGATCTTTCCATTCAAGCGTGGACCGGTGAAATTGCCGCCGACGATTGGGATGGCTGTTCGCAGGCCTTTGGCTGTCTGTGCTGTAAAGATTCCCGCTTTGCAGTCGGCGAAAGCTGTGTACATATATTCAAGGGCAGGTGCAGTTGGCACTGAGACGTTCGTGGAGAGGACACCTGTGCAAAGAAGAAAGACGATCGAAGCAAGGAATTCGAGGACTCGCATGGTGAATGTAAGGTTGGTGCAATGGGCAGTTCAGTATGCATATTTAAGGGCACAGGGTCTGCAATCGACTTGATATACATTACAAAGACCGAGTATCGGCAGAAGTCACGTGTGTAGACCCTCGGTTATGCTTCAAGAAGTCGAGGGGCCAAAAGCCGTGAGACGATGCCGTTGCATTCCGATGCGGGGATCAAGAGGTTGTAAATGTGTGCTGCGGGCGAAGGCTTTGCGCAAGTGCGAGCCTTGAGCAAGGTTGGGGTATGTAACGTAACTGCCGAGTTTGTTCACGTGCACGCCTTATCTTACCTACCGGTACCGTGCACGGACACCGGGTGGGCCGGGTCACCAGGTGGGCCACCCCACCAACTTTACCACCTCACCAACAGTGAGGCTACAACACCACGTAGAGTAGATATTATTATATAAGAAGTTGATAAAATATACTATCTGCTACTGCGAGACTTTTAGCGTATTCAGGTTTTTTGTGGGCTTTGTGACGCGGCCACCACGAGTCCTGAAGCCCAGGGGTGCTGAGCTGGGCTTATGAGACTCCTGTGAACTGCCATTTGCTGCACCACCACCACGCTTTGTTGATTTTGACCGTGGCTTTGCTGAGGCCTTGGGATTAGTCTGTTTAGGCAATTAGGATACTTTTTCTGCGTTCTTGAGTGTTTTGACGCGCTCTCTTTCAGCTGCGCGTTCGGCGATCCCCTGAGCCTTCTCCGCCCTCTTTTGAGCTGCCTTCTCACGCCTCAACACTGCCTTTTCTTGCCTCTTAACCTTATCCTTCTCTTTCAGGATCTTATTGTTGTGCTGTACTTGCTTCCGATCAGCCTTTGCAGCGTCATCTGCGATTGCCTGCCTCTCTATATCCTTCATACGGGTCTTGGCACGTGCAACGGATGAAGGATCCCAGAATATGGCCCCCCCTTGTACATTAGGGTCCCGCGGTGACAGTGGCAATACTTTCTTCTTCTTTTAACGCTTCTTCTTACTCTCTAGTGCTGTTTTAAGGCCCTGAAGTTCCTGATCTTTGAGCTCAAGAGCCACGTGCATCTAGTGCATCTGCTGCCTTGCCTCACTCTGCGCCCCTGGGTCCCCATACGTCACTGCACAGTCAAAAGATGACCTAAAACGTCGCTAATTAGGTGAGGTAGATGCCGCCCAAGGCTCTAATTGCTAGGGAGGCGTTGCAGGTAGTGGTGGAGTCACCTTCTTGAAGCGATCAAGTATGACGTCTAGGTGAAGTGGGTTGGTTGGTTGGTTGGTTGGTTGGTATTCATTTTACGTCTAGTTAATAGGGACAAAGTCCACCATCTCGCCTCCCAAAGGGCATATACGACGTGCTAAGCTATAGAATTACAGTGCGAACACACTACCTTAGAAAGCATTTCTTGCCTGCGCGGGTATTGCTACCATTTCAAAACTACAGCTCCTCGTCCAGTTGGGGAGGCTGAGCGATGTATGTACATTAGGGTGATTTCCTTGC